TTCCACCTTCAATTTTGGACCACCTCGTAGCGCTACATGGCACAATTTGTACAAACTGCTGTGGCGATGGCTTGGGGAGGTCTTCATCCAGCAGTAGATTCATGCTATTAGTAAAGTATATAAGTAGCAGTATAAAGTGAGAGGAGTGAATTCCAAATGAGCAGTTAAAAGCAGGCCACTTACAATAAACAAGATGAAGAATAATATTAGTTGAGAACTTCTGTATCAAATAAGAGCTGGATTGTTTTGAGCAGTGGTTCTCAACCTTGTTTGGCAACTGTACCTCTTGCTGAATTTTGTTTCAACCGAGTAACCCCCTTGCCTAACCCAACATGGTTCTGAGAAGTAAATGTATGACTAATGAACATCAATATTTTAATCAATTGTCCACTTTGTGAGGTATCCTAACGAGCTTGTAATTGCAAGCAAATACAATGTCAATGGAAGCTCTGCATGCATGACGTAATTTGTTCCCGCTCACTGGTTACTCTTGGAAACCACATTGTTAAAGATCAATGAGTTTAGAAAGGTGTTTTAAATCGATTTAAGTTAAGTATGGATTTTAATTGTACTGTAGCAAAGAGTATGGATCCCTGCAGTCACGAAAACTTCAAATCCAGATTGTAATGTAGTGATTTTATTTTGGAAGATTCATACATGATTAATCACCAATGACTCTAATATATGATATAAATTCACACATTTATAAATCACCTCTCGTACCCGCTGGGATTTTGCCACGTACCACCAGGGGTCCGCGTACCCCCGGTTGAGAACCACTGTTTTAGAAGATACACAGCCTATCAAAGCGTGATTAATGATGCACTAAGATGATGTTCATGTCATTCATGAGAGTCGCCACGTGAATAAGTGTTAACTACCCAGACAGTCAATTGCGTTCTAAATATATTCTTCATCACTGGACAGCAGTGAGCTGAGTGTGAATTTAAAAAAGATGCTTTTGAACCATTCCATAAATACAGCCTCTTATATGTCTGGTGTGGAGCTGCTGATTGTGGAAAGTTCACAGGAAAATGCCATGTAACACGGCGTTTCATCATTATTCATGCTGATACCAGTCTGCTTTAAAGATGAATAGAGTCGTGTGATGCATCTGCTCACCCCAACGTCATTAGAAATACCACGACATCCTGAGTAATCATATTTTGGGTAGATTAAAACTATTCAAAATAACATTACATATCTCTCTCTTCTTTAGGAAGAAATAGTTGTAATTTATCAGAAGAATACAGTTACAATGCGAGATAATGCTCAGGTGGAAAGAAAAATCGTACATTAAAACAAACAAATCATTGCGCAATGTCCTACCAGTGAGGAATCAAATCTCAACATACAGTTCTGTAGTCAGCGGTGCTGTATCTTTGACGAGACTTATCCGAACGGCTAAATATCTCAGTGGACCATAGCCCAAGAGAGGGAGTTACGTTCAAGAGTGCTGTGGCTTCTGCCTGGCATTTGTTGATTTTCCTCGGAGCTATAATGATACATTTCCTTTTGGTGTTTTGTGTTCCATCTGGTGCACAGCGGGAGTCGTAATATTCTCTCCGCTCTACTCATGCTGCCCTCCCCTGACCCGAGCTTTCACAGCCACTCTCATGCCCAACACTTGACCCCTACTATTACTCCACCGCTGAAGATGCGTGTGGCCGTGTGTGGGTCATGTACTCGGCACCTACGGCTTGATATTGACAACAACTCTCAGTCAATGCCACCCGGTTCGCTACCCTTTAACCAGCGTATTAAATGTGTGTTGGGTACGTGCTCAATGCAGTGTTGGGGAGAGAGCACATATTTATTTTCTCCAGAGATGTACCATTTGACATCTACACGTTAATGGTGAATTTGCGTGGAAATAACCCTCGTGTTCTTGACTTACCGTTAAAAATGACCTGTGACCCTTGACGTGTTTGCCAATTATATACCCATTAAAACATGCCCTTTTGTACCAATTAGCAAGATAAAACTGGCATCCCCGATTGGTGAATACCGTTATAAGTAAAGTGAACCCTCCTCCCCGTTGCTGCTCCCTAAGCTGGAATGCAATAGCGTTGTTTCTCTCAGTGGTAAATAGTTGCAATCTGGTACATCTTAACACAATGAAAGCAGACAAGAGCCTTCCTGCAAGAAGCACACCTAATACCCTTCTCGGCGACACAAAAGCTTCGGTGATTGCCGGCTGGCCAAGCTCTTCATTCAAAATTAGAATGGGGGGGGGAGGGGGGGGCACTCCAACTGATACACTGTGAGTGTTGATATTCCAGCAGTCGTATTAATAGCAGGCCCCAAGAGTGATGGGGTTTACTTGATCCTCACTTGAACCCTATCACCATTTTCAAAATGAAGCCTCGTGAACATTTACATGTCCCATCCTGTTGGCACCTCTCTGTTTCAGAGAGAATGCCCAAAGCCTCCTAGGCCATCCTCTAGAGAAACCTTATTACATGGGAGAATTTAAATGTTGTCGTGGCTCTGTAGCTGAACAAATATCCCGGGCCAAATGAATATTGGGCTGCCCTTTGCTGCCCAATATCACCTCCCTACTTGACCTCAGGGATTTTTACACGTGTCTAGGACTCATAAAACTGCTTATCGGACAATTTTCCGATATGTGAAAAGCTTATGAAGAAATCTCTCAAAGCATGCAAGTGTGATTTCCACCATTACAATACATGTGCCCATCGCTTTCTGGCTCCTTTCCAATGCAGAGTTGCTGGCCCTTTAATACCTGATGGCGAGTCTGTAGCATCCTCAGAGATGCGGTGGCTCTTTCTCAGATCTTTGATAATATTCAGCACTTCGTGCTATTTTTTTAAAGAAGGAAAACCATATTTGAGCCAATAACCACCAACAGCCTCGAAAGTGAGCTTCAGTGTCTCCATAATCAATAGAAGACACGCTCCCTTAAGAGTTTGGAGATTAAAATTAAGAAAAATAAATACTGCCGAAACCAGCTTCTGAGCAGGAATGCACCGGTAGCTGTCTAACGATTTGGATTAATGTGCGATACTAATAATGCATTTTAAAACTCGACACTATTTCAGACATGAATGACCATGACACTCAGGCGTGGATGCCAAGCTCAGTGTCGTCGCTCGAAAGCCAAGCGAGACAGGTGGCCTTCAAGAGTAGGTGCAGCTTGAATGCCGCTATTTTTTAGCAGGATGGAAATTCCGCAAGGCACTTTGAGGCTTCTACTCAGGCTGGAAACGATCTAATTCTCTGGACTGAGAGCCGTAAACTGAGATCGCACATTTAATGCATTCAGAGGCCATATATATTTTAAGAAATCTTCACGAAACCTGCCAAGATGGACCTCCAGTAACAATAATTCCATCAGAATTCATCCACCTCACAACAACGTGACGAGTATCTCAACGATAAATCCCAGCATCTATTGACATCCTGAGAGTAAACGACGTAAGGAATTACTGGCGGTCGCCGCTGTCTATGCTGTAGATCCAAGCGCCAACGAAAATCCTCTCCTCTAGGGCAAGCCACCAGGTCTGGATGGCCCCCCTTGTAAAATTGTACCGGAACACCTCATCACCCAGTCACGGAAATACTCTCTAAATCCCTTCTCGGCAATACTCCGTGAACCCAAATGCTATACAACCGAATATACTTAAAACTAAAGTAACGACATTGAATAAGTAATTTGATAAATAAAAAACTAAATGTATTTATTCGTTCTCTTTTACTTGTACAGTTTTCCCTCGTTCTTCACGAACTTGCTATCCACGATTTAGGCTATCCTTGAATTGCATCTGGAACTCTACACGACTACTGCATCCAGAGAAGGATAGGTGATGAGATAAAGTGATGATGATGCTAATTGCACAGCATAATCATAATTTAAGGTAAGTTCATTTATAAACCACTATTTAATACTTTAATATTTAATTGTATTTAGTTTATGTTTAATATAACCAATCTTTATTCTTTTGTGGTATGATAATGTTCATGTATGTCATCGCATATTAAGAACAATATTTAATGTGATTAATCTAAAATATGAATAATGGGCCAATATAATTATTTGAAACGTATCCCTTGTGAATAACCAGGGAATACTGTAATAGCAATTTGGAAAATAAATTGATGTTTGCATTCATCACAGACCTACTGCTGAATACTGTCATTCAATAATGTATTCATGTATTTCTTTTTGTGCATGTTACTGCAGCTATATCATCTACATATTCCCCAAGTTTTTAATCTCTAAATTTCATACGGGATCCTGACGGCAGACTCACTGTTTAAGCTATTCAAAAAGACACGTTTCATCTACTGTAATGTTAATCGCTTAAATGGTTTTCTATTCACTTGAAACTCAGTCACAAAAAAACGGTCTCATCATTAAAGTCCTTCAGGGGATTTAATCCAACTCACCAATGCAACATCATCCACCCAATGACCTCCCTTAATGCATCTGCTCCACAGCCTAATAAAATGTCCTACACATCTCATTACGATGGAGGGTAGCTGCTTTCTTCCAAAACTGTTCCTTGTGCCTCAAACAGGTGTCTCAATGCTGTCACATTACGGTTGGTATAAATACATACATATATTGCTTATATATGCCATGCAATTCATTTTCGTTGACTGTCTTGTATTTTGGATGTTGATCCACGGAGTGAACATCTGCTTATTCGCTCCCTCACCCTCAACACATCTAACCCTGACAAACGCACAAAGCTAAACACGACGCTCTTGGACACTCTCCGAAACCATACTGCATTTTCCATTTATAGACAACCCTCATGCAAATGACTGATTTTTTTTTCTCTTTCTATTACTGAAGAAGAAAGAAATTCGTTGGGACAATTTCCCAGCAAACACGCAACGACGTTGGCCCGACGTTAGTCCCGACGTTCCGCGCGGCGGGTGGCCACAGCCGATTGGCCTCCCCATTTGTTTTTTTTTTTGGGGGGGGGGGGGGGGGGCGGGGAGGTTGACCCGTGGGAGCGACCGCCACTTGCCTCCTTTTTGAGGATGCAGTTGACGACAAAGATGACCAAACCCTGCAGCGAGTTGAAGACGCAGAAGAGGACGGGGAAGAGGAAGGAGCGCGGGTCGGTGATGGCGAGCACAGCGCACATCCACGTGAGGGCGAGCAGCGGCAGCACCACGCAGGAGCTCCATAGCGACGCCCTGCGCACGGGCGCCGAGGTAACGAAGGGGTGGTGGGAGGGAGAGACAATTGAGCAAAAAATTGCGACGCAAGGACGTTCGGAACACAACGTAATAATCCACCCCGTGTAGCCTTAATACACTGTAGGGGCAAGTGCTGTGAGCGAGTAGCACCTATGCAGGCCAGAACGGCAGACGAGGGGGTGGGTGGCCAGCACCACGCCCGGCCGCCTTTGTCTCTCTAGTGGCGATGTTTAGACAACGTACCAGGTACTCATTTGAGGCTGAGTCGATCTAGAGGAAAGCCAGGACCGGTTCAGATAATCATCACAAGCAAGGCCGTAGCCATGGAGTCAACATTGGGGGGGAGGCCAAATCTCCCAGGGTATCTGGGGGTCCCAACTCAGAAAAATATCTACATTTGAAAACAAATTTCCTGCCTAAAATAAAAAAAAATTCACAAACACATTGGATCGACTTTTTATTTATGTTCTACAATGTCTAATAGTGTATTGTATTACATTGCTCTGTTTTAACTTTTTACCATTTCTTGTTTTATTGTATGTAATGGCAGAGATTAGGGATTAATAAAATACAACCATAACCACAATCATATAAACAGAAATCTACGCATTGATTTATATGAAGACAAGTCCAGATATTGTGGCCATGGTTTAGTAAATTGTTATTTTTTATTTACATAGGATAGCAATTCTTTTTTTATAGAAATATATTGGGGGGGGGGGGGGGGACATTTTGAGCATATTTAAATATTGGGGGGAATGTGTGTCCCCAAATATATATTATAATTACGGCCTCGATCACAAGTGTTGGCCGTGAGCGGGAATCGGACTCGGGCCACCGGATTCGTAGCGCAGCATGCGAACCGCAACGCACGTGTGCACACAAAAAAACGAACAAAGATGACCGTACTTTTCACTTGAATTGCCTTTTTCTCTCTGCACAAAAGGTTGTCCCTTTCATGATATTCACATGCAGTGCTGTATAGGCTGAAGAAGCAGCTGGTCCATTCTGGTGAGGGTTGCCACCTTTTCCACCATAGGCTAAACCCAGACCTATCCCGAGGTCTGCATTCAGGGTCTATTTTCAACACTGCGCAGTAAATCGTGACAAAGTTCAACACAATTGCGGTGCCAAATCTTGGTACAAATCAATTCCTGTCGCCTGAACACAAACTCTGCAGGTCAAACCCGGCTAGGTGGCAAACCCTGGGCTGGCCCCACTATAGAAGGAAAATGCAAAAATTTCAACAAAGCTTGCACATTTGAAAGTTCATAAACAGCATATGATTTTACATGTAATACAAGACAAAGCGTAGTTTCACAACTGCTTGCAACTGCCGGTAGGCCGTATGTAGGGAAGTTGAACTCATTTCGCACCGTTCATAGCCAACCGCGCGAATCGGAGGTGCGGGGGAAGGACAACAAATTAACCAAAATCTAAATAAATTCGTTTGCAAGCGAGTGTCGGTGAAACATGAGCGAGGTGATTACACAACCACGCTGTTATGGGGCCAGCCCCTGTCAATCAATTTCACTGTGATCGTTATAATAGTGACAATACAGCAGCTATAGTGGGTGCAGGAGTTTCATTGGTGTTCATCTGAGCAACGAAGGCGCACACAAAACGTGGTGCTCACCCTCGCTGCGCTAGTCCTTGTTGGTTACCACACTTAAGTACATCAGCAGGATGCATGCAACCCCTTCTCTCGCCCACCTTCCTCTGCCCCTGCTTCCCCCTCACCACCCCCTCCCACCCATGGGTTCCGTGCCACACCAATCCATTTACCCACCGGCCGCCACTGAGTACATGAGATAAAAACTCTGTACTCCTCTTTCGCCATTGGCCGCCTGCCATTCCATTAACCTTTCCTCACCCCGCGATGCCGTGAAGTGTAGCTTGTGGTCATGAAGCCGAAATGCTTTGGCCACATCCACGATTCCACTGTGTCAGCAAAAGCAAGCATTTCCCAATGTTTTAGAATGATTGGGGTCGGTAAAAGTAGCGGGATTTTTTTTAAGCCTCCGTAAGTCGCGACGGCATGAACGTAACTTGTGGTGTTATGAAGCCACGATGCCTCATGTCAACTAAATAAGCAGTTTTCTGTGTTTCAGCATTTTTTTTATTTAACGAGGATTACCTGTGACCATAGCAACCACAAATTATGTTATCTGTGTGAGAGAATTGGTGCAAAAGTTACATTTTAATTTTCCATTGTCTGTATATTTGCTGAAAATGGTAATCCTTTTTAGGGATTCCTACTCATTAGAAAATTATAAACAAAGCAGAATTGCAGATAGTTCTAACGTTCCACAAAGGCCATTATGCGGTCTTCATATGAACCTTAGGGCGGGACCCCGGGGTTCCATAATACCCTGGCTCTCGCATAAACATATTGTAATGTAAACAAAAAGTAGATTTTCTCTCTCTGTGTCTCTGTTTTGTATCTCTAATATTGCCTCCAGTCACGAACGCTCCAGATCTCTCATTGACATGCTAATTTCTCTACCCCCCTTTCTCTCTGCCCCCCTCTCTCTCTATTTAAGGCCTCGATATAGAGACGTTGCTTCTGTGTGTGCCTATGTATGTCTCTCTCTGTGTGTCTCTGTGTTGTCTCTCTCTGCTTATGTGTCTGTCTATGTGTCTCTGTGTCTGTGTTTAGTCTCTCTCTAAAATTGAGCAATCTTTGGAAGAACGTAATCAACCAGGTAGGGTGTTGACTGTTTTGTTAGCCGACTCACTGTGTTGTATTGCATTATATTTCTAAGTTTACTCGGTTTGCTTTTTCTCGTTCATTTGTACCTGATGATGATTGCTTGTGTTGCAATCGAAACGTCGTATTATATTATTTAATTTATTTTCTTTCTACGTGACTTTACCGAAAGAAACAAAAAGTGTTGTCTTGTTAAACGATGCCTTTAAAACTGAAAACTACTTACCTGCAGTACCTCTATTCAAATCACTATCTAAAATATAATTTACACCCCTCTGTCAATTATCGTGTTTCTCAGTGTTGATTAGTGAACACACTTTGTAAACATTACATAAAACAGTATGGGCTTTCAATGCGCTGTTCATATTGTAACAAGCGTTTATACCAATGTCACTCGACAGAGTAGTGGGTCGCCGCTCCTCTTAACCACATTGATACGAACGGTATGTGGGGACAATGGCTTAACCGCAAAAAAAACTATTTGCACAGATGCATACGGAAAAGAGAAGTATTATCAAACAGGAGGAATTAATGGTGCAACGCATCTCATCTGTTAAATATCTGTAGGTAATAGGATTGTCATCGACTGATCCTGGCTGCAGACATTTGTAGGTCACAAATAGTAATGAAGATAAGAGAGCAGTTTCATTGTATTATGCATCCCGTGATGACAAATAAAGGACTTGTGTCATGTAGGCAGTTTGAGCAGCTTTGGATTAGACTTATGATCCTGCCCATACCCGAGCATGGAGTGCATTCGCTTGTTCAGCTCTTCTGCACATTCGTCCTCGCTGCTGCGCTTGGATGACACGACAACAGAATGATCCGCGCAAGGTGAGTCGCGGCATTTGTGCGCGGAGTCGCCAAAATAAATATTTTATTCGGTTTTGACTTCCGTTTATTCGGGACCCCGGGGTCTCGCCATAAGGTTAATGTGGACATTTTGGTGCGATTCCACTCCGTGGAGTGGGCAGACTACACACCCCATCTATGAAAGTCACCAATGCAAAGCCAGGGGAGGTGCAAGTGGCTCTAACCACAGCATCATGGAATAATCCCCACTCACAAACGAGACGAACCAATCATGCCTGATATGTCCTACACATACAACAGCCACCAACAACAACAACAGCCACAACAACAGGTGATTTCACCACAGCACTTGTGCCAGGCTGGATGCACTTTGAGGCTATCAGCGACAGGTGCAAGACTCGCTGCTGGTCGAAGATCACGGGACAGACCCAGGTGCCATGGGTTGACTGACTGAGATGACTGGCAGATAGATGCACTACCTGTGCTCCCAACTGTGCCAACTTGCTGTGATTGAGCCACCTGGCGCTCTGCTCTTTGTTGAAAGCGTCGCACATATGTACACATACGTACACATATCTACAAAGACAAATATCCCCATATAGCCTTCACAGACTATTGCGGCAAGTGCTGTTAGCGAGCACCTGTGAAGGCCGGCACGGTACACGAGGGATGCGTGGCCAGCACCACGCCTGGCCACCATTGTCTCCCTAGTGGCGACGTTCACACACTGCACAAGGTACCTATTTGAGGCTGAGTCGACCTAGGGGAGCCCCAGAACCGGTTCAGATAATCTCTACTGGTGTTGGCCGTGAGCAGAAACCGAACTCGGGTCGCCAGGTTCGTAGCGCAGTGCACCAAACGCTACACTACCGCTCCCCACACATATCTACATATACATAAACAGACACTTCGCAGCATAGCGCCTGCAGTCAACTCGTGCTGCTGCGTGGGGCACAAACTTGCAAGCCACAATAACAACGGCTCTAACTGCTCTGCTGAGAGAAGAGGAAAACGACGAGGTTCAGTGACCTTGTGGCTTCTGGGTGCCACTCACACGCTCGTCTCAGCAACCTGCCCTTCTCCCATCCTGCACATGTCAGCCATCCACCGTAACCTCATCTGCCCAATAATGTCTACTATGCTTTCTCGCCGTGTCCTATTCTGAACTTCCATGTCGCTAACCCTGTCCTGACATGAAATTCTTAACATTATCCACGTACGTTGAACTTCTTTCGCACCGTGCGTAACCAACCTGTCTATAGGAGTTTGTATTTAAATGTCTCAATGTTTTTTTCTCTCTAAATGCCTTGTGTATAATCCGGAAGGACATGTGGAAGCGATGGTTACCTGCTGGGAAGATCTCATGGCTAATTATGTGTTGCATAAAATATATAATTTATGGGAGCAGCTCGGCCACAACCCAGTGGCACTGTTGCAACCCAATCCCTCACACACTTCTAGCAAGTGAAATCCTACCAAGTATGAAATGTTGATACTCATGAAATATTCCTGGAAGAAGTGTATCGTGTTGTAGTGCGTATATATATATAAAAAAAAATTGCACCGTACATAGCCTTCCGTGCTAGTGAGAGGTCCGGGGTAGGAGCAATATACGTTTAAGTAGGTGTTGTTCGGGGGTGCCTATGGCGCCCCTCACAACTATTTACGGTCTTCGGCCAGGAAAGTTACAAAAAAAATTGCACACGAACGACGCATTCACGCAAGCTTATATCATTTGACATCTGGAAGACTTAATTGAAAACGACATTTCGTGTGAATTTTCTGTCGTCGTTAAGTATATGGCCTTGCTGGGGCTCGGTTCGATGCGGACTTTCACCTGTCTGGGATTGCGGAATCGAGATAAGGCGACAGAGCTGCTGGCCGTGCGAGAAGACCGCCGTCTGCAGATCGATTCCAACGTAATCAAACTTCTGTCCCTGCGCCTCCGTCATTCATGCAGGGGGCACGTAGGTTTGCAGCGCCCCCTGCATGAAAACGACGGAAAGTGCAGCGTTCAGCATAGATCGATACAGTTGTGCGCTTATAACAGAGTATATGTGCTTATAATTCACATTTATTTAACAATTTGTGTGTATCATAAAATACGTACTAACAGATGCAAAAAGTTTTGTATTTCCATCGAAGTCAATTTGCATCATTTAGTGGCTGCCCTCTCTTGCCTTTAAATGATCATGAAGAACGAGAATTATATAACACAACTAAACAAAGGTGGCCCGGGGCTCAGAGTTGATATTGAGGAACTGAACACTTCTGAGGACGTGGGTTCTAATCCAGGCAGCCACCTTGTGATTAAACTAGGTTTTCAAGTGTAGCCTTATTATAGCTCGCTAGGCAAGTCTATCTGAACTACTCTTAAATCATAATACGCCTATGTTTGGTTCTAGGAGAGTATATAAATCATTTTCTCCATAACTACTATCATATCTGCCTCTATAACTGACCGTCCCAGTGTATTCCTCTCGCTACCAGTCTCCCGCTCTACAAGGATGTATTCGCCAACGTCTGTGCATCCATCTCGATCCGTCTGCATCGCACTGCCCAATCTCCCTGAGCCGTTTCAGTCCGTGCATCATCATAACGTTGAATCAGCATAACACGTGTCTGTAATTTGTATAATTAACATGATATAATGTTAAGCAAGTGATTCAATGCATGTATCGTTTGCCGCAAGATTTGTTGGAGTTGCCATGTTCCCACCCTCCTAATCAGCGTGCAATGATTATGTACTCTCGCCCCCTGCTGTCAAAAAGGGTTAATAACTTCCTCAATGGAATACAGCATGTATGTATGTTGAACATCTTTTGCACCATAGGTAGCCAATCGGAAGTGATAACAAACTAAACACAAAAAGCAGTTATAAATAAATTAGTTTTCAATCAAGACTTAAAAGTGCATAACTCAAGTGGCTTCCTAACTTTGGAAGGATGAGCGTTCCAGACGGCCGCAGCACATCTGAAATCGCGCGATGCAGTGACCATTTTTGTTCGATGGTTAGCCAAAATCCACTCGAGGATGACCGCAGTTTGCCTGATGGTTTATGACCCTTGACGAAATCAGCAAGGAATTACTAGAAGACGAACGGTTTAAATTAAAGTGAAACCTCTCAAAGCCGTTAACCCTTTCGGTTTCGAGGTATATCTGGCATGCTGCAAACAATTGAATAATTCGGACAACATTTACATTTTAATTCCATGTATACTCAAATGACAACTAATACGCGCAATTAACGCTTAACAACCCATCCATAATAAAACTAAACATTTGGTCGTGTGATAATACTTAACAAATTTCACTACTGTACAGTATAATCTGAGAAATGTACCGTCACCATAAAGCGTTTGTAGGAAGGTTGAAGTTCACTGGAATTTTTGACAGGCAAGAATAACTTAGAAAAAATAATGCAATACAAACTGAGAGAACACGGCACCCAAGTGCAGGGGTTCACCGGAGCCTCACTCGTGCACAAATGCACATGAATGTCATTTCAATGTGTTTCGTGATTGTCATTATTTTCGGTCAGTCTGCCAAAAATCACGAGTGCTGGCATGCACTTCTCAAATTCGTACACATGAATTGGCATCCGTGTCCGGGTGGCAGGAATTGATTCGTGCTGAGATCTGATACCGGTATTGTGTTGAACTCTATTCCAGTACACGGTACAGTTTGACAACAGCCCTCGGCTACCTCAAAAATATGCCTGGGTTTCTTCTACACTGGAAGAGTGGCAACCCTAATGCAGACCGTGGCAGTGGCTGTTCATTTGACCCACACAAGTACGACTTTATCCATTGATGAATAACAGGGGAATTGAATACATTACGTAAATCATATTTTCCGCACCTTCGATTAACACAGCTGGCTACGTACAGTGTGAAAGAAGTTCAACATCCCATACATACACGTGTTGTTTGGCATGAAGTTTAGCATTGTCTTCGTGCAACAGCTGATGGCAATAAATGTTGGTTTTAACTGCCATTTTCACAAAAATTTCAGGGCCAGCTTAAGAAGAAATGGCTCCCCGTGTCAACCTCACATTCAACGCCACCTCCCCCCAGGTACTGAGTTAAGGGGATGAAACAAGACGTGGATTGTGCCCACCCCCCTCCCCCCATGATAGCGCCGCTGTGTACGGGCTCACAACACCGCTCACCCCTAGGGCCGGGCCCCTGCCTAAACTGTGCAAGCCTAGCAACATTCTCGAATGATAAGAGTTACAGAAGCTGTTAAAGGGCGCCAGACGAATTGTTCACGGGAAACAAAATGGATTGGCACTACGATCATGCCAAATTAATGATTTTTTTGTATCTTTGTGCCCTACCGAGCCGCAATTTTGTTCGAGTCAAACGTAACGCGCTCGCCCGCGATACTTTGAGACAGGCTATGATATGTTTTGAGCAAAACAAAACAAATATAGCAATTTTACGTGAATTTTCTGTCCAGTTTTTTTTTCAAAAATCTGAAATGATTTGGCGACGTATACATATCAGGCTTTCTTTTTTTGATTCATGGACATGTTTAATTCAACTTTAAATGTCTCAGAATTGGTCTTGTGTGTGGGAGCATTATGTCCTTGCTACACCTTCATATATAGAGGAAACACTTTCTATCCATCATGTTCTATAATCCTCTGGGGGGCTAGAAGATCTGCCATTCCTGTTATCAGCGTATTCCCAAGGACTAACGGTATGTTACAGATGAAGGATATCAGAACGCATTACTATAAAACTCCTCTTATCTGATTTGAGACTCAAGAGGTTGGGGGGATGGGGGGGGGGTATGGGGGATCATATTTCACGTGTGCATCTGCCTGAATCACCTCATTTATCGACACACAAATAATAGGATGCTGCCACTTAACGACCACTCCTCTTATCTGCATGTTGTCTCAGATAATAGGGTGACCTTGCCGTCACTTCCGGGTCACTCTTGATTTTTCAAACATGTGGGTAAATCGTGGCATGAATACCAGAATTTTGCACCTTAGGGGCACGGGTAATATGAAGTACAAATTATGTAGTAGCACTGTGACATTTGGTGAAACGTACACACATACACTTGATAAGATGATTTTGTAAAAGCAATTAAGCATCACGTTTTAGAAACCCGAGAACAATGCAAGACAAATGAAAAACAGAGATGGTACGCGTGACCAAAAAACGATGTAAAATCTCGGATACGCTAATACGGCTATAGGCGAGCGACGAATAGAATCATAACGCACGCAATAAAGCGAAACCCATTAAACGAACGGATTAATTGGAAATACAAGCAGACCACGAGCGCTGTAGGTAAAGAGATGTGCGGTGGTTGCCGTGACGACGCTCTACCCACCCTGCTCTGTGCTTGAGTGCTTTGTCTGCAATGCCGTCTTTGGCCACCAGCTTGTTGAAAACCACAATTCCCAAGATCATGTTCACCTGGAAAATGACAGGAACAGCAAGATATTGTTTTAAACATATATACACACGTGTGCATCATATGCCCTCGGCCACATTCATACATATACAGACACAATACAACTACGTAGGGACGTACAGTATAAGCCTTTACAGACATAATCATATAGCAATTCCCCACCCAATATGCAAGGGTTTCCACCTCTGAGGTGTATACAACGGTAGATATAATGGGAAAAATATCTCACAATCGCACGCTCACTGCATCGCGCATTTTCAGATGTGCTTACGGCTGCCTGGAACGCTCTTCCTTCCGATATTGGGAAGCCACTGGAGCTATGACATTTTAAATTATCTAGATTGAAAACTAATTTCTTTAGAACTGCTTTTTGTGTTGAGTTTGTTGTCCTTTCCCCGCACATCCTACACATGGTGCAAAATAAGTTCAACATATACAATAATGGGTTAGAAGAGAATTACATGTAAATGTATTTAATCTCTCGTGGTGTTTTGTAATTTAAATGACAAAAACCGGGGCAGACATAGAGATTTCCCATGGCAGCAGCTGCCTCAAAACGAGGACAATCCTGGGACAACCAGGACAGCTGGCAACACGACAAGACAAAGACCCCCCATGTACAGCCTGAACAGACTGTTGGGGCAAGTGCTGTTTGCGAGTAGCACCTATAAAGGCCAAAGTGGTACACTAAGGAATTGAGTTTCCAGAACCACGCCTGGCTACCTTTGTCTCCCCAGTGGTGATTTTTACACACTGCACCAGGCACTCATTCATGGCTGAGTCGACCTAGGGGAGGCCGAAAACTGGATCAGATATATTCGTCACCAATGGTGTCCATGAGTGGGAATTGAACTTGGGTTGCCGTGTTCGTTGTGCAGTGCACTAACCGCTGCGCTACCACGTAGGTGAAGTCCAGACAACCCTACATCTATACACACACATGCCAGTGCATACATTGTGGACGTGGATACCCATGTATTACGTGTTCCCGAGGCCATCCCCTCACTCTGTGTACAACAGCTCAGTATCTACACACAGCAGAGACATTGATTGGCCTGGTGGATCTCAGAACCCATGGGTCGAATTCAAATCTGGATCAAAATCCATCCCATTCCCAGAAAAACTCGAACACAGGACATTCCAGGAAAGGTAATGAGAGTGACACTTGGATTCATATAGCATGCAGCTAATTAATGTATTAGCGGTACACCGGTGGAGCGCGATATAAAAAAGAAATTTTTTCGCAATAATAATTTATTTTCCCACGATTCGCAATCGGGTCAGAAAAGCTTGCGAGGTGGCGGTGCATCAAAATCAGTTCTCATGATGTTCAACAGTCGAAAGACGAATGTTTATGAGCAGCTGAACACGAAGCTTCACAGTCTGTTGCCGTATGATAGCACCCAGCCTGATGACGATTTGGCTGCTCCGTGTTCCAAAGGCAGATTTGACTTCTCGTGCCTGAGACTTGGTCGGACAGTTCCTCGATTCATTTCCGGAATAATTTCTTGGCGGACGGTGGCATCGAAAGATTATGACTCGTGTTGTCACCACCACCACACGTTCGAATGGGTAAGCAGCTGCTCAATCAGTGGCGGCTCGTCAATAGAGGGCGCAGGGGCGCCGCCCCCATCAATATTCTAGAAATATACGTATACAAAATTTATATAAAAATACATAAATAAAATATTTTTTTCATACGATGTGCCGGCTGGTAGTAAGAAAAGCATCAGCATTTAATAAAAACTGGCTTTAATCGGTCAACTATTTTCTATGTTTTTCAATGTGTTTCATGCGGGGCGCCGGACAAATGGATGTCTATGTGAGACTTTACATTTTCGGACAGCATGTGACCTGAAGCTGGTCTCTAATTGGTTTCTTAAAGATTCTCCTCGGGGCGCAAGTCGTTGCGTCCCTGGCCAATCAGAATTGGATACATGTTATTTTATCCAATCTGATTGGTTCTCGTCACCTGTCATTCAAATTTACGCTGTAGGCCACTACTGCGAGTGCGAAGGCGACACCACTTTGACACTTGCTAGGCTGATCAAATTTTTTGTGTAAACAATGGCAGCAGTTCATCCAAATTCTGTAATTTATTTACAAAAAAACCCTTTCACAAGGCTTTCGCTGGAAGAAATAAAAAAAGATAAAGGATCTCGGACCGGACCAACCCGATTTACAATCCAGCAGCAGGCCAGTGACAGAGGACGAAGCTACACACGAAGCTTCACCCGCGCTTGTTATGAGAAACGGAGGTGGCTTGCTGGCTGGATGTGATGTTAGCAATTCTCTTTTTTGTTTTCCCTGTCTTTTATTTCAAAGTGTCGGCACTGAAGTTTTGTGGACAACGACGGGGGTAAGAGACCTCAAACATCTCTCTGACAAATGCAAACGTCATGAAAGTAGCCGCAGCCATATTGATAATAGCATGAAACTAACGTTTTTATGTTCAAGTAGGAAACATGCTTTTTGGTACTTTGGTCTGAAATGTATATAAAAGAGAAACATTTATGTTCAAGTAGGAAACATGCTTTTTGGTACTTTGGTCTGAAATGTATATAAAAGAGAAACATTTATGTTCAAGTAGGAAACATGCTTTTTGGTACTTCTTTTGGTCTGAAATGTAAATAAAGATCATCAAAATTTATATTAAAGTAGTCAAAATGGTTTTTGGTACTGCTTTATATTTATTTGCCCCCCTCAATAAAATAAAAAAAATGCGCCCCCCCAAAAATAAATATCACCAGCCGCCACTGTGCTCAATCTAAGTGCAACTTCTGATGCAGCTCACTGAAAGGCAACAGTGACAACGTCAGACTATTTTACGGGGACCGGTGTGTTATTCTGCACCCGTGTACCGCCAATACGTCCATAGCCAGTACGTTGCTACTCTGCATGTCGACCAGCATTGTGTAGCTCTGCGTTCATTTAGAACGAAGGCTTAATGGTGCAGCTCGCTGGCAAGGCTGGCTGGGGTAGTTGGCAAGACCACTGCTACTCACCAGCACCACCACTGCTGCAGGCCCCACGAAGGAATAGAGGAGCCCACCCTCCAGCGACAACCAGCAACTGGTGTAACGCACACGACCGCACGCACACACACACACAAGGACAAATATCCCCCATACAGCCTTAACAAACTGTTGGGGAAAGTGCTAACCGCTACACTACCGCTCCACACATACACACATGCACACACGCGCACACACACGCACACACACACACACACGTACGCACACACGCACACACATGCACGCACGCATGCACACACACGCACACACATGCACGCCCATGGACTAGAGCGTTACATGAATACTGACTGCATCTGAATTGTTACACGATGCCCTAAACATGTTCAGTACAGAAGAAAAATATCAACCAATACATACAAATGTAAGTATAAAAATATGCAATATTCTATTTTCTTTGATTACTGTATATACTGAGATGTGTTTATTGTTAGGGATATGCACGTCTTAACACTCCGTATATTTGTTAAATACATAGAAGAAAACAATGTAGTCGTCAGGATGAGGCTGACGACTTATGACATTCAGATAACCACATATCCATTGCACGCAAAGCATGAAGCTGAATAAAACACAAAACTCTGAAACATTCATGAGTCCTGTGATCCTAGACAATTGTCTAATTATCTGTTCTTAATGCAGTAATTTTCAACAGTGGACCTCACGTCATTAAATGAAAATGAGGAGAGACGCTGCACACATGCGTAAAGAGTTACGAACAGAAACCACAAGAGTGAAACTTACTAGTGAATCGTTCCATATCCGTTGGACTTTGTAAAACCCACAGATGAGGCCACCACCAGAGCAGGCAGCCCTGAAACAGGGAAACAATAATAATGATGCCTTAGAACAATACGTCTGTAGATTTTCAGAAAAAATTAACAATCATAACAAGATGAGAAAATCAATATGCAAAATGTTTATTGGTGATACAATTATTTGGTGATGTTGCGTTGGTAGTGGTGCAAAGCACAACGAACAACAATTCTTAAAACGTTTGTCAATAACAGTGGCCTTTAAAAGACATAGAAATATTTCAGGCCGCAGGTAATGGCTTTTCTTCATATTCACATGCGAAGTATAAAAGCTGTTCTTCAGGAAACATTTTAAAAATGTGATTCTCATCTGGCCCACGGTGTAAAGTGCAGTGTCCAACTCCTATTACTCACTCTACCTCTCTGGCCTCACAATTTATTTCCTATGAAGAATGTCCATCGCCCAAAACGTCACCTATTACATATTTTCCGTTTAAGGCAACAGGTGTCATTGAGGAACGTGTTGAATGTTTTTTTTTTAATCGCTGATATAGATTAATATTGATAAGTAAAATTATTCATTACCTACATTGTAGTTCTTCAGAATTCTCGACTGTTTCATGCAAAAGCTGTTCTTCGGCTCTTTCACCTCTTCCCAGTTCATTCCGTCATCATTGGGCACCATTTCGTGACGAATACCTCCTAACGCTGTCGCCATCCCTCACAGTCTGGCGACGCTAAAATCCCTTCCACTCCCGCACATCTCGTCGCGTTCTCGTCCCAATGGTCACCCTCTCAAGCGCGTTCTCGTCTCTGGCTGTCATTCCACCACTGGCCATATCCATCGGCCATCATTCCTTCTGTCCAGGCACACTTACTTTCCTGAACAATCAATATGTAGCTGCTCCAACGTTTTGGAACCAATGTGTCTCTTCGCTGGAGATTACCACACTGCCATGTCTGTACTCTTTTATATAGACACAATTGAGGTCCAAACAATACAAATGCAAACGTACATAATTGTTTTGTAAGATCGATTGATTATAAGTATTTAATATATTTTACATCGTGTTTACTTATTGATTTGCTGCTGTGTCTGTCTGCTGGCAAAGCCACCCTTGAAAACAACCTGTATACAGTAGCTCAATGGGTAATTTCCTCGGATAATAAACGTCTGATTATAATTTGTGTTTGTTCCTTCTTCTGCGTGTTTCTCCTTTTGTTTCTCAGTGGAATTCTGATCACGCACCTCACATTTTTCACTTGTGCATGTTTCATCCCAAGTTACGTTGAATTTGTCAGTGTCAATGTGTTATAACACGTCACAGTTGGAAATAATAACTGATTGAAAACAAATTCAGGAACATTCATAATCAATTTAATTTAATCAAAGTTCTCAATTTTCTTCCCATTCATCTCTTAATTGTATCCTTTTGGTCCCGATCAACCTTCAATAATTTCCTCTGTGTTTGCAATCTTCCGTTTTCCAGCTGTGGCTGTCCAACAATCGTTTGCGTAAAAAAAAAAATCATACACATTGATAAATTTCCCAACTTATATTCAAATAATGAAAGAAAAAAACTAAAATTGTTGCTTAAAGGTTTCAATGACTTTGGATAGTTAGGAGTTGAAACTCACTTGGTAAGGCCAGCACAAATTAATAATCAGAGAAGGGTGAAATACACGTATAGATCATCAATGAAGAAGATCAGCTCGGAGCATCAAGCATAAGGTTGAAAGGCAATGCGAGCAATGGAACATTGCAACTTTACCTCTCCAGAGGTAAAATGAAGAATCTGTTTTTAAATCATCACATGGAGGGATATGATGCGACTGTAGGTTACCAAGTGTACTGTGTGAAATGTTCACCTGAAGACATATCAGGGCTGGTATGTGTGAGCAATAGAGAAGGCACATATTACCCTCCCTAATGGTAGGGATATTTCATAGGTTTTAAAAAACAATGGAATAGGCAATAGGAAGATGTAGTGATATTGATTTTGGCAGGATATATTCGCAAAAGAGAGATGAGATGGGCTGTGAATGGTGAGGAGTTAATGAGAGGATGAAGGTCATTAGGGAGGGGCAGTAGAAGTTGATGGATGAGTTTGAGAGACACAGGGCAGAATGAGAGAGCACAGAGACTCGGGGAGTTGGTAAGAGGCACGCGGAGTAATCGCAAAATGAGTAACTATGAGGAGAAATCATTGTAAAATATCACAAAATAAATAACCATGTACGTACTACAGGGTGGCGTTTTTTTAATTGGGGCCACAGCACGTGTACCCACCCTGTTTACTGTGAGCGATGGGGGGCTATGAATTGAGAGTAAAAGAGAAAGTATATTCTGAATAGGGAAAGTAAACATGCAGAAAGGGGGAGGGCTATGCAATGAATGTGTACAAGAAAACAACGTAAACAGTGAAAGTGACATCTTGGATGTGGAGGTGCGGCTCATCGCCCCGTTTGCAAAGCTGAGCCAGCGGTGGAAATTGAACATTCCTCGTGTACGCACAGGGAAACCGCTGTTGGATGTCCATGATATGGTACCCATTTTGTTGACCCTGGAGGGATGATGGGCTGAATCAGCCTCCAAGCAGGATGTGAGCTGCGAGTCGCTTCCCCTACCGCTGAGCCGCTGTACCACCGGTGACACCACTGTAGTCTGCGCTCCTTTAAAGGAGGAGTAGCAACATGATGGCAACTCTCTCCTGAAGCCATCGCATGGCCAGCAGGCCTCGACATCGGCGTTTAGCTCCTGAACGTATTGCCATCGCGCGCAAGACTAGCAACCGTACGACATGGCGGTGAGTGATACATCGTCAATTCAATTAATGCCCGAACCCGATCATTGAACCGTTTGATGCTCCATCAAATAAAAAAGAATACGTTCAGCCAACGAAGGCATGTGGCTATGGAAGGCAGGTGTGAATAAACGCTGGCTCAGAGTGGAGGTGCTGCGTGCCGTACCCCAGCCCAGGCATAGGAATCTCTTGCGTACGATTCTCTTCATGGACACCCCGCGCACTGCCATGAAGGACTGCCAGGCCTCCGTGAGCACCCAGCAGAAGGAGGCGAGGAAGAAGAAATGCAGGAACACTGCCACGACGGTGCACGTCACCTGCCAGGTGCAGACATTTCGTGGACGTAAAACGACCTTTATTTGTAAAAAAGTATCTTATAATCTGATGGAATTGCAATGGTTAAAGCATCTTTTAACATACATCCATTAAATTAGGCATCAAAAGCATTGGCCGTGATGACGCCATGGCCGATGCTGAATCTGATGAGGACACCATGGCCAATGCTGATTCTAATCGTTCCTTTTCAAAGTAAATATAAAGTCTTCTTTTGACAGGACTCACTGAATACCGTAACGCCTCACAAAGGGAAGCCTCAATTCGGGGTTAGCCAGACGGCCACCGAAATAAATTAATAAATAATTACACATGTCCATCTTGTGCAGTAAATTGTTGGAAAGAGATGGCATGTGAAGTTAAAACTTGTAACAATATATAATGCTAGGTTGTACGATTGAGAAATACATTAAATCTGTGCTATTACTCTCCACACAGGTGACTCTTTATTATTCGCAGGCAGATTATCCAGATTGCAGAACCAAACTCTTACACTTTTTTTTATCTTACCATGAATGCCCCACTGAGCTACATAGCTTTTTTTCATAAGCGATATGGCCACAAATTATAGTTCAACAAAGTGGCTTATCGCGTGGAAATGATAGCAGCCAAATACTACAAACGCACGTTGATTCAAATTGTAGAGGGAAAAAACTGGACTCGGAAAAAACCCACGCGACCACGGAGAGAACAGCAGGCATTAAGCTCAGGATCGAACCCACCACCTCCTGTATACCAGGCGAGGTAGTTAACATCTCGCCACCGTGGCACCATCAAGAACTGTGCTCATTCACCTGCTGCTCACTGGTCGAGGGTCAATGATAAAGGACTGAACACGTGTCCACAAATAAGCCAATAACTTTAAGAAACTATAAAAACAGACAAAACATTATACATCATCATGACCATTCTACTGGGATAAACACAAACATGTATTATACTTTAGTTTTACGTATGTTTTGCATTATCCATGCTTTTGTTTTATGCACGCCATCCTTCCTCCATTACCCCAGATTATCAATAGTTTACAGTGTAATGATTATTATTTAGTCGTTGATTTATGCATATCAACATATCGCTAAACAGCGGAATACATAAATCCGTGTAATGTTTTAACATTTGGCGCCTCTTAATCCCCAAATTAAAAATGACAACTTAATTCAAGTATCAGTCAAAATGCATTAACCTAGCAGCTTATTGCCATTAAAGTTAATTCTCGAATCAATATTTAATTCTCCCGATGTGTTCCAGGCCATGAATTGCATTTCGTCATCATGGTAATATCTTCCGTTATTTTTTCAAAATAGGAAATACAATTTCTATATTTTAAAATTTACAACAAGATGGTTGATTGAAACATATTATTTTCATTATTCAAAAGCATTGGATAGTACGCACCTTGTTGTAGGTTTGCGTCTCTCCAATCAGAATCAATATATTGGAGGATATTATTGAAATGCAGAAGTTGAAGAGCAGCAGGCTGCGGTCGGATTTGACAGACCTGGACTCACACAAATAAATTAATATCATTGTAATATTATTAATCAGTCATCCCATCCACTTTGGACACAACCATTAAAACCAACCCAAAAGATACGCAAACATGTGATTCATTAGTGAGTGAAAGAGTGCTGCGTTGAGCATCCTATAATAGTCCATAATATATATGTATATTTCTATATAAACTAAGATATTTTTAATTTTACCAGGTAATGCCCACTGAGCTATATTGCTCTTTTTCAGAAGCGACCTGGCCACGAATGATAGCTCAATGAAGTGGCTTATCATGTGGAAATTTACAGCAGCCAAATACTGTAACAGCATGTTTCTAAATTTGGAGAAAAAAATCAGAGGACACTGAGAAAAACATACGACTATGGGGAGAACATGTAAACTCCAAATATACAGCAGGCATCAGGGTCGGGGTCGAACTCACGACCTCCTGCAAGGTACCGCAGCGCTATACATTTGTGCAGCACTGAATGGGTTCATATGAATTACCAACCGCACCGTGTGCTAGCATCGTGGGGGGGCGGGGCGTGAATTCTTAATGTTCTCAGGGCACAGCGCAATCTTCCCACCTCTGAATAACTGGCATATAGCAAACTGTCTTTCGTCTATGGGAGGTGGAATAATTGAATCTACGATAAACAACAAAATGTACAATTTTGTGCTACAGTTAATAGCAAAGATCAAGCGTAGAATGTCAGTTAACGCGAGCAAAGTAGTGGATTTAAAAGAAGGTACCTCCAGAAGGTAAAGTGAACGATCATGAGCAGAATGAGTGCCAGGGAGGAAAAGCTGCATCCGACGATGAGGGTCAGTGACAGCGACCTGCTGCGATTAATCTTCTGGGAAGGAAATAAAATAAAACAAGAAGGAGGGGGACAAAACGTGAGGTGGGGTGAATTCGTTAAATGGTTGATCCTTGCTTTCAATCCCTGATTTTCTCCAGTAAAAGCATTAATAAAAAACAAACAAAGCAATAAACAGGCACTCGTAATTACTCGAGAGTGCATTAGGTGAAACAATCGGACATGTTTTGTGAAATGCATATTATTCATCTTAAAAGAAAGGCCAGCGATAAATAATGGCAGCCAATATTCAGGAAACGTATGAGCCAACTTACATTTTTCCATAAATCAATGAGCTGCTGGGAGTGAGATTAAATGAAATTGCACTGGACCAAAGGCAACTCTGACATCAAGGAAAGGTCTTCGTTTAGCCATGAAAGATTGCTCGTGATAAATGCGTCGTGAAAGTTGACGATGAGATTTCACGGGCCCCAAATGCCAATGTGCAAACAAGCATTGAATGAACATGTTTCATTTGTGCATGTTTTTACTGGGACTTTGTTATGTAAATTATCACAGTAACACTGGTGCCAACCGGCGCATTGGGATCCACGGATGAAATCCGCCTGACAAATGTTAATTATTATTAACTGACATTTTAACGGTGCCATAAATGTGTTGTGCATTAGAACCACGCGGAGACGAGAAATACTATATAAGGGCTGTTTCCGTTAAACACTGTTCCACTCAACACTCTAGGCTCAACGAGGAGAGAGAAACCCTCTCTCAGCTGATCCTTACCGAATACTCGGAACCCGACTCTCGGCTATCCTCTTGGCTCTCCCACTCGTCTGCCCGGACGGGGGTTCAGCCAACACCGCCCGGCAACGAGGAGGGAAAGACACCTTGCAGCCAATCCTTGCCCTGACTCCCCACAACGACGCCGCCTTCGTAACGGGGTCCCCCTTAAGTACCCCTTCGGCGGCTCCTCCCCCGAGCTCGGACCCGCCTTTGTTCCCAAAGGTACCGCTTACACCACCCGTGACATGACGTCATCTTTGACTGGCAACCCGCTTCGCACCTCCTTCTGTTCGCCCCCTCACGGTTACTCAAAATACTCCTCTACAAATGCGTGAAATCGTGATGTGACTTTGTTGGGAATATGGGAGGAAGAGGCAGAGCTGGTGCAATAACGATTGACCTCGTAAACAGGGTGGGAAAGGCGCAGCTCTGTAACTGCTTGTTCATGACACTGCTGAAGGAAGTGCCTCCACTAGTGGAAGTACTCACGCTTTACCCCACCGTATATGACCTGACAATTGTCCAACTGTGGAGCACCCAATTACACTGTTGTGTATACAGAGGAGGGATTTCAGAAATGTGCAGAGATGTCTCCACTGCCGTGCTAGGAGACGATACCATTCACCTCTGGATTTAAATACAGATTCTGCTAGAGATTCTGATTCTAAAGTCCCATGTGCTTTAGGTTCCCGCCAAGTTTTCCCAGTAAGGTGCGATGTCGCTGCTGTAATTCCAATTGAGTAATTTGCAGGATATTTTCAGCATTGAGATGTTTTGCCAATACTACTTATATGATATATATTTGTTGTAGCTACGGCAGCAAAACAGACAACCCAGAGTAAACCCATTGCAGGACAGGGGGAGAACATACAAACTCCACGCAGACAGATGCCGGAATTGGAAATCAATACTTGGCCCTCACCACTGCGCTAACTTGCCATATCTTTATAACCAGGGTGGCTAGGAGATGTTAACTACCGTGCCCGGTGAACAGGAGGTCGTGGGTTCGATCCTGATCCTGACGCCTGTATATTTGAAGTTATAATGTTTTCCTCGTGGTCGCGTGGAGTTTTCTCCGGGTCCTCTGGTTTTTCCCTCTCCATTTAGAATAATCGTTTAGAGTATTTGGCTGCTATAAATTTCTATATGATAAGCCACTTCGTTGAGCTATCATTTGTGGTGAGGTCGCTTCTGAAAAAGAGCTATATAGCTCAATGGGCCTTACGTGGCAAAATAATAATTGTTTAACATATTTTATCAATACAAAAAGTCACAAACGTTATGTTGATTTGATCAATAAAGCAACATCAAACCGCTGCAATGCCTCATCATGCTGAAAAAAACTCCGTGCAAATCTTTACCCAGTAACGTTAAAGCGAGAATACGATGCAACGGTGAGCTTACCGTTTTAAAGCCAGGCTGCGCCAAAATAGTGAAGCTTGAGAAATGCTCGCAACGGCACTTGGTTCTGAAAGCATCGCTGAACATGGTCTTACACCCAGCACCACTCCATCCACTTGAGAGCAACAGGGACAGGAAAACAAAGACAAACACAATATCTGTCATGTGTGTCAGAGTGTAGAACCAAGCGTAAAAAAAAAACCTCACAAACTCACATTACATGGCAATTATATCACTGCGTGTAAGTTAGAGTGACAGCTACCGAACGTTAGATGACGTAAAAGTGACGAGACTAAATAAAACTATTAAACTATGTTTATTTTACCAGGTAAGGCCCACTGAGCTATGTAGCTGCTTTTTTCAGAAGTGACCTGGCCACAAATGATAGCTCAAGGAAGTGGCTTATCATGTGGAAATTTATAGCAGCCAAATACTCTCAACGCATGTTTATAAATGTGGAGAGAAAAACCGCAGGACTCAGAGAAAAATCCATGCGACCAAAGGGAGACAGACACGCAAATTTCAAATATACAGCAGGCATCAGGGTCGGGATCGAACCCACGACCTCCTGTATACCAGGCGAGGTAGTTCACATCTCAACATGGTGGCACCCCACTTCGGCTGCCAAGCCACCCCCTACGGCACTGCCCATCTCCATTGGTGGCCCCTTGGCCAGAGGTGGAAACTCTACATTCTGATGGCAGAGGCCAGTTCATGAGTCTGGACACCACCACTGACTCGAGTGGGACTGATTTCAAAATCTCCATCCACAAGGAGGATGAGTTCGCCGATGACTCAAGATTTAAAGCGCAATATTTGTCCGCCAAGCATGCTTGCGCCGTGAGACTTGACTGCATCCGTGCTTGTAATCACTTTCAATAGTTTTCTCCAAATAAAAAAAAAGCGTTTGTCAGTAACAAACCGTGCACGGTATTTGGTGTGCAGTTTCACACCTCCCTCCATGGCAATGAGGTCAGCGCTCAGCAGCGGAGGCTAAAAACCGCACGGCGCTTGCCGTTGTGGAGACAAAAGCGATGATGCGCTTTGGGGAGGGCGACACGAGATCCCTCCACTGCCTAGTATACGTTGACTAAATGCGGGAACTCATGTAAATTTCGTGTAGTTTACGGGATTCTTGGCAAGCAAATAATGCTTGCGTGTGGTTAGGGGAAATTTAAAAAAACAAACGCGCCATTGCCAGGATTGCTGGCGATCACCGCCACGCTTTACCGCAGCCGCCAGCGGCTGTCGGCAGCGTCCACCATCTTGCACGTTGCAGGACTGGCAATTGAGAGAGGGGGATCATGAGAGGGGCATGAGAGGGATGGGGCTTTGGAAGTTGGAGACCGCTGCTGAGGCAATACTGCGAATGCTGTGCCGAACTCTACCAGCGTCTACTGCTCCAGCATCTGTCTACGCAAGAACTCTATTTGACTGTTTTCATTCACGAAATGACCTACCCTGATGTCTAGAAGGATTTTTGCTGGGACAGCCGAGTGTTTTGCTATCCCCCCCTCCCCACAGTCTGCCAAGCGGATGAGCAGTACCCCCCCCTTGCCCTCCTATGACAGCGTCCAGGCTAGCGGTGCCCCCCACAGAGCACACGGTGGCAGATTCCTATTGGAATGTCTTGCACTACACACTGACGTATTTGAATATAGGCGAGCGAATGTCAGACTCGTGCATTGCTTGGTCCTTCCTTCCGCTTGCTACGGCACCCGTCGACCACAAATATCAACCTTCACCACACGGTCATGATGCCCGTTATCATCGGCACTACACCTGGCTGCACCGCGCAAGGCGAACGAATAGCTGACAGCTGCCAAGAGAGCCTGGAGACGAATGGGGGGGGGGAGGGGTAGCTCACTCCGACACGCAGGACGCAGGTGCGTCACTCGTGATTTGTTGCTCTTTGTGCGCCACTGTTGTCCGCTCGCACCGCGCTGTGCACGGCAGCAACCCCGAGCACCGGCCGCTCTCCGAGCAAAGGACTTACCCAGTGCACATTAATGCCGCACCGGATCTGCTGCATCCCTTTAGCATCAAGTGATGCAGCACCGCTATTCACACAGCGGTAGGCCGGTATTCACAGCGGTAGGCCATAGCATGTAAGTGTAAATGCCCGGATACTAAATGATGACTGGAACGATTCACAAATTTCCCCCCAAGTCAAGTTACACAATGGTGAGCGGCGCACAGCACTCTGAACCTGCACACCCGAGTATATTCGTCCAAATGATGAAGCACACCAGCACTGGTTATTCAAGGCCTTCGTATAGCCGAGGATGCATGGAATGACCTCATCAAAGTCAGCAACACAAGTTGCATAGAACAAATAGATATATCGAATAATTAAAATGGTTAGATGTTTATATCAGGAGGTCTTGGGTTCGATTCCAGCCTTGACGCTTGTATATTTAGAGTTGGCATGTTCTGCCCATTGTCGTGTGGATGTTTCTCTGGGCCCTCCAGTTTTTCCCTCCACATTTAGAATCAACATCACGCGTTTACAGTAATTGGTTGATATACATTTCCACGTGATAATTTACATCGCTGAGCTATCATTTGTGGCCAGGTCGCTTCTGAAAAAAATCTATATAGCTCAGTGGGCCTTTATCTGCTAAGATAAAAAAAATAGTTTATTTTATTTCCAAATATCCAGGAACATAGCGAATTTATCTTTGTTACCTTGATTGTTAACATAGTACTTGATGCAACACCAATCTGCATATGCTTGAGTAGAATGTAGTTCCTCAAATATATTTCCTGCCCTGTGTGAGTTCTGTGAGATGAAGGATCTGGTCGAATTAAATGGATGAAACAGGAGGTGAAGGATATAGGAACAGCAATGCTCAATTATGCGTAAGGTCTAGTTTCATAAAGTTAGGGACTTATTCACTATCAAATTTTGCGTGATAACGTTAAGAACATGAATCAATGGTCACTGCCTATCACCTTCATCACAATTTGTACGAGCAGCAGCAGCTGCGGCTGATGGAGTTACGTCAGCTCGCGTCCACACTCCAGCCTGCTAACCATTGCTGAATCGATATAGCCATAAAAAAACATTGATCTTCAATATTTTCACTTCCCACTTTAATAATAATAATGATTTAAATGTACATAATGTAAAATAAACAATATCCGGTGAGGTGGCGCTGTGAGTACAATTGGAAAGTTGTGAATTCAAACCAGCAGTAGGAGGCCAACTCTGCCTATTATTCTGGGGTTGATAAAACCGAGTACTACTTTTTTGGAAGTCAACAGTGGTCATTTTATCGAGAGCGGCTGCCACCATGGGCATTAAAATTCCACCGCTCTCAGAGCCTTGAGGCGGAGATGAATGCTACCCTATTTCTCCTCTGACCAAGACGGCACCGACTTAACATGTGAAATTATGTGAACGATGTGGATACGTACATGTTTACCGGGTCCCAGAAAGCACAGTATGAGTTTGTACCCTGCAACAAAAATGTTCACGCAGTTTAATTCACATAAAAATGGTTATTTTCTTCGAGGCATGAACTAATATTAATCTAACAAAATTGGAAAAATGTCATGATCGTGCCATTGCTGTTTGAACAAATTGTAAAGATACTCCCACAATTAATAATTCAGGGCACAGGGCACAATTCATTTAACACTAAGCCATAGATTTTGCATCATTTATTATTCACTTGTGGTCAATTTTAATATTGATTACATTTGTAATATCCGCTTCTTAAACATTAGGCATTCCAACTAAAATTGTATCCTTGCAAATTAAAAAGAACTTAAATATTCACTAAACCTTGCAAGTACTATGCTTTAAAAATAGTAAAAATGTATAGACCAACCTGATCTATTCACCCATCAGCTATTCACAAATCTACTTGCGATGTTGTTCACCAATGAGTTACCTGTCGTTTGTGTAAATATATATGAAAATGTTGTGTCTCTGGGCATTTGCAAATTAAGTAATGTAATGTATTGTAAAACACATTACACACACTGCGAGCGTTAAGCTTTCATCACTTACAGTCACGATGTGCTCCAATGCCTGTATCCATGCCAATGTGAATGAACCGTTAAATGGTAGTCATTCTGCTGTGATTCACAACATTAGTGTAACATTTTGGGGATTCTTTGATTTTATGGAGGCACCGCTGACGTTGGTAGTTTGGGGGAAGGGCAACACTCACATCATTAATACATTGATATGATTTTGACATAGTTATGAAATAATAACTGCAGTGTAAATAATCCATTTGAGTTAAATAAAAATATTGTGTGCATTGTGGGTATTCCACTGTTATTTGAGGTTTGTAGAGGTATTGGACAGGCATTGTTGAGACGTTTCTTTATTCATAATAACGGTTTGTGGGTTAGAGCGCTTAAGTATAAATGTGTCGCAACCCTCCACCACCCGACACAGCCAGTAAGGTTTGTCACGTAAACAACGCGCCAATTCGTTACTACTTCAGCCCACCGGTGTGTTGGAGAGTAAATTCACAAAATATACAAATTGAATTACGACGTTTTGCTGGTAATTACGTCCAGCATCATCGGGTGATTACCAGAATAGTGAAGCAATTCACCTGATTCCCGTCTTAAAAAGAGCAAGAAGACGTCATCACTGTGAACCCACTATTCGGCCAAAATCGCCCAATGATGCTGGATGTAATTACGAGCGAAACGTCGTACTCAAATTGTACATTTTGTTGATTTACTCTCCAACACACCGGTGGGCTGAAGTAGTAACTAATTGGGGCATTGTTTACGTGACAAACCTTACTGGGTGTGTCAGGTGGTGGAGGGTTACGACACATTTACACTTACGCAATCTAACCCACAAACCTTTATAATGAATAATATCTGTCGTGAAAGCCTACGTGTTCAACTGACATTTCTTCATACTTCCATGGTTAAGTGTACCTAATCAAATAATACGTTTAAATGGCATACGCATGTGCGCTGTATTTTTTAAAAACAAAATTAGCAAACTCTTCCAAAAAGAGTTGTGTGCGATGTGACCGAAACTGGGCTCAAATGTAATATGTGCATGTGTAATTTGCAAATGAATCCATTGTTTTAAATTCTGGGAGCCTGCTCCGTCATGCTCACTAACTTAACGGTTTGACTCTCCCATTCGTGAATGAGCTGTCCTGCAAGACTAAACACTTAATATCGAGTGAGATGGCACACGCATAATAGTAATAAAACAAAGCAATCGGACGCCTCATCTGTGAAGTCGTGCAACAAAAAACAACACACTCCTTTAGAATAATCTGACGCCGCTCTGGTTGTGTAAAGCGTAGAGATACTGCTGCATCGGTTTGCGCAGTCGCACGGTAAAGCCGTCCGGGCTGCGCCAAGCATTGTTTGTTGTGACGTTCTACGTCGTTTCGCTGCCCGCAGTGGGTGACGTTCTACGTCGTTTCGCTGCCCGCAGTGGGAGCAATCGTTCACCACGTGAAGGAGCGCTGCGCAAAACGTGTGACCTCTTACGACAGCATTCGCATAAACCGCTCTTGCTGCAATACACCGGTGTCTCGAGTAATTTGTTTGAACCACGGATCACGGGGGGAGACCATGGTTGTGCCAACTTTCCTTTTGAAGGTCGCAGTCCACTTCGAACGTCAATTGCTAACTGAATGTGAATGCCCTATTAACGGAAGTTCCTGAAGAAGGTCCCGGCACGTGGAGCGGAAATGCCGGACGATGTGAAGCACAGCCCGGAAACGTGTCATGGAAGTGTGCGCGTGGTTTTTGTTTCATTTTCAAGGAAATAAATAATCGAGGAACGACAGAGTGGCAGCGGCGTGCATCGGTTGCTCACGTTAGCCGTATGGCTGAAGTCCAGTTCGAGCCTGACAACGTCCGGAGCGGGGTTCATGCTCACCGAAATGATCCGAGACTGCACTATCGTGTTGTTCCTGAAAGAGGAAATGTTCACATCACACATTAATGGTGCCCAAAGCGAGGGGTCAGGCCCAATCCAAACATGTGAGTGTTGCACAGTGGTTAACTGGAATGAAGAAATGATGTAATATCGACCATGAAACGTGACAATTATAGCTGTCTGCCTAACTTTCGGATTTCGTAAGACTTTTCCATATATTTTTTAGAAAGGTTAATCCACCACTGTGGTCCCTCCATCCAAATTGCGGTGCATCACATCGGATTAAGCGCCTGAATCGTATCCGAGGTTATGCACCTTGCAGGTATATAAATTCCATTTCCATGATAAATTGCATCCATATTGATACAAATAAATGTCCTGATTTGATCAACTCATTACTGTAATTCCAACTGTTTATGCAAAATTTTCTTAAATTGCCCCCAATTTTTTAAAATTATTTTTTGTGATCTCCATAGGACAAGGGTTCCATGTATTTCGCAGCAATTTTCATCACCAAACTCTTCTGCTCCGGAATTGCATCGTGTGATATAGGCTCCACTCACTATTAAAGCCACCAGTTAGGGCTCTAGATGTCAGTGGTTTTGAGTAAATTAAATAATAGCATTCCCCACTTTCTTTGTCGTGATATTGAGTGGCACTGTGAATCTCGAGTTATATAATTAAGCAATTATGGCATGGAGATTGGAAACAATTGGAAGAGTTCGCTGCGAGTCACCCATCGCTTGGTGCGATTTGCATAAATCCATTCTTGCGTTTGCATAACGGGGGCAGGTCAAGCCGTTTCAATTCAAATTATGATCTGAAAGAAATAAAAACATCTTCCACCACACCAGTTGTCACGGATACAAAGGATGGAAAGTTTCTCAAAGTACGGTGAGCCTCGCAAGGAAGTTAGCGAACAGATGGGGAACACTTTAGATGATAGCATTCTTTCTTTTCTCGAGTGGCCGTTACAAATTTGCCGCGTCATCAATTTTAATTCATTTGGTTTGTGCTGGACTCAATTTTTATTTGTTTTGCTGCCATAAACCGGGTCTCTTTCCGTGTCCTCACACTGGTTGGTGCAGCCACCGAATGGCATAATCAATCGTAATTCATTTGGCAAGCTCACTTGCTGTCTGGTAACATTTCCTGGGGGGTAGGTGGATCCAGCGCTGTACATTTAAATAATCCAATCAGTGAGCGGGAACGTATGTCGTGAATGCAAAGCACGGCTCACTGCCTTGAATTAATGGTATGGAAACTCAAAGCAGCGTCCATTTGAGGCTGGTTCAGTAAATCCAATCAGCGTGACGTTGAATTGAATTGGGACCATAAACATTCATTCAGATGTGAAGTTCATCATCATCATCTCCAACAGAGGTTAACAGCAGCCCCTCCTCCCTTCTCTCAATGACGTGCGGCAATAATAAATAAGGTTTAAAACTGTGGTCCGTGACGCGGCATCGACAATACTGGGCTCGTGATGAAGCTCTCCCCGGAAATCATAGCAAACGGTAACAACTGACGAAGTGGTAAAGGTTTTAGAGAAGAAAACAAAAAATCTGGCCTACACAAACTGACTAGAAAGTTCGATGCCAGAATTGAAGATGGTCAACACAGCTCGGCAGAGCAATGATGACAGCCACTTGGTTGTTGAGAATACAAAAAAACGTTTCAAAGGCATGTGACAAACAACGAATTCTATCGAGTCTCTGGAACAAAAGCAATTCGCGTGAATAGCCATAAGGGGAACAATGCTACCCAAATCACTACATCTCAGAGGCTCTACCCTGTGCAATACGGCAGGAATACTATGCCTGTAATACAATGTACTTGTCCATATATGAACGACACTCGTTTTTACGTCCCCATTCAGCTGGGGGCACAGGTGCCGCTATTGAACACATCATGAGGAGGTGGTGTAGCACCTACTGTGCCAGGTCATCTTTTGCTCCTCCAGTTTCTGATGCTTATATATATCCTATGAGGTACACATTTAAGGCTGGGTCGACCTAGTAATACTTGATGCTATTGAGTAAGAGTTGCAATTCAAGTTATCCATGGTCAGGAGGATACCAGTGCTTATAAGGCATACAACTGAAACGTGTACCTGGATAGATTCAACAATACACCTCCTGACCATCTCACAGCTCAGCAGGTTTTGGAGTTTCATAAATTTCTACAGGATTCACCACCACTCCTGTGTGAACTTCTTTCACACCGTTCACAGCCAACCGTGCTAATCGGAGGTGCAGGGGGAATCATTAGAGCACCAGGCACCCATTTAGGGCTGAGCGGACCGAGAAGCATGTACGTGGTGGCGCTCACCTCTGTTGACGGCCCTGAGCCACTAACAACTCTAGACACTCCACAGTCAATGTGAAAGCTCAATATATCACGTGCTTCAAGATTTGAACTTTTCGTGACTGCAAGGATCCATACTCTATGTTTTTTTCGGTAAAGTCACATAGGTGAAAACAAAATAAAAATGAAAACAAGCAATACAAGCCTCCGTCATCAGGTGCGACTGCTCCAGCAGTATAAAGTAAGCTAACAACGTGTCTCTAAATAGTTCGCTTTATACGCTACAGTAATTTTGCTGGAGCAGTCACAACTGATAACGGAGGCTTGTGTTGTTTCCGAAACGTCGTGATTTAATTTAGTTGTTTTCATTTTTATTTTGTTTTCACCTACGTGACTTTACCGAAAAAACTAAAGAGTATGAGTATCATGTGCTTGTAGAGTGTGATACTCTAACCAAATGGGGGAGCAGTGGCACCGTGGTTAGCGCACTGCGCTATCAACACAGCGACTTAAGTTTAATTCCTCGCCATGGCTCACACTCGTGGTGAGTGACAACTTAGGTGGTTCTGAGCGTGTGTCCCCCCCCAATCCCTTCATCAATCCTCATGAACTGGCGTGGTGAAGGAAAGTCAAACACACCATCATTACCAATGAGGCGTGGGGAGCCTTCATCCGGCCCAGAGATTGACAAAGGGCCGATGTTATTATGCAGTGTGCACGACGCAATGGCGTAAGTTTATGGAGTAAATGTATCATTGTGAATGCAGAAATTATGGTATTGCGTGCGTTTACCTTGGTTTGGGTAGGAAGGTTTCCAGATGTTTGTAGATCACAATTCCCACGACAAACACCGGCGATTCTGCTGCAAAAGAGATAACATCCGAGCATTTAGCAATAAAAAAACAGGGCGCAGTTTGTTATTAAACCCATTCATAGTTTATGGACAAATGCATCAGATTGTCAAACAATGAAGAAAAACTATTAAAATGCAAAGTGTTCCATCGGTCTTGTAAATCAACCCTATCGAAATGTTTCAAGGAATTTTCTTTTTATTATTTATGCACATTTCATTAAAACAATAGATGCGCTTCTACGTAACAAGTCCGTTAAACATTGCACAGCTGTGCTCCTGCCATTATACACAGACGTTCACGTGTAAATATACTCGGTATATGACAATTACATTCCATCCATGAGACTCGATTACTTACAATTTATGCAAATTCCCGTACATGTAAATTATACATTTATGCTGCTGAAGCAAACGGGGGACTACAAATGAGGCTGTGAGATACAGCACAAATGAGAGAGTAAACAAATATATAAAACCATGATCCCAAATCACGTTAAATGCTTGGTATTGCCGGGAGTTGAATCCTCAACGACTAAACTCTGTTCGCATCGACAGCTGGTCGTCAGGGTCTCGTGCCCACCCACCCCGCGGAGAAAAACAAATTCAGCTGGAGGAAAAGACGAAAAAAAACTGAACTGCACATTTTTACGTTTTTAAACTGCTCGCAGTTTGTGACCTCACAAGCCTCTTGGTTAAGGGCGCGCCCGTGATTGTTGTTCCGCAGCAATGGGACTGGGCCCCCCGACCATCTGCTGAGAGCCAGAGGTTTATGAACTCGAGACCGCAGCCCGTGGGGTCACGCACGCGCTCGCAGTTGGATTGCCGCTGGGCCAGCGTTCTTCATTGCAAGGCCCCGCGGGCCACTGGCGGCCCCTGGTGGCTTAGCAGCGCGACCCCTGACCTGCGGCCCCCCGACAATACACAGATGTGAAAACACCCACCCATCATCATCGTCGTGCTGCTATCAAATCCCAATGGTTTCAAATGTGTGGTGGCCCTCACACTCTGAAAGTTCGTGAAGAACGCTGCTCTGGGCCATGAAAGGGCCCACGAGTATTCGGCCCCTTGCTGCTGCATGCGCTCGCCAGTTTCTACTGTTAAATACAAGTTCAAGTTCATTTATTTGGTATAGCCATGTGAGCCATTCGGCTCTTGAATCGGGTGCAACCGCAACAAACAAAAACATGAACAAAAAACATCTTAAAGTGAATATGTGACTGAGTGCAAACATAAATCCAAGAAAAGACAGCAAAATATTGCAGAAAAAAAAACACCGTACACCAACGCTGTGTGCAAAAATCCCAGTGGGATGCAAGTCAAACAACCAACAACAACAACCACAAGACAACTTAGATTAAGGCCATCAGTCTAACTCTGTACTACAACAAACAAACATGGCTAAACCAATAAACTTTTCGAAATCACCAAAATAAAGACATGAAAGCAATGAAACAGTGATCATAGGAACTGTGACGGAATTTTCATAACAAATGGCATAAACAACATGTACTACCAAAACCCTGCAGCCATACGGGACACACACCCTCCCATAGCCCCCACCCTTCCCCCCCACTCTCCTCCCCACCACCACCCGGGCTTGTGCCCCCCCCCCCCCCCCAATATATTTCCCCACTGGCCGCTACTGTTTGTCCGCGTATGGTAAGCACCATGAGGTCGAGAGTCCATCCTGGCCACTATTATTGACGACACCCACACCTCGCCATCTCGTCCACCCCTATGCCAGACTATCTCTGAAGAGTTGCGCTTGGTTGCTGCAAATGCTGGAAGATCTTGCACAGCCGACACGAGGACACCTTGACTCCCGCGATCTCCGCGGGAGTCAAGTGTCCGCACTATGACCGCGTCACAAATATAGGTAATCAGCCATTCGGCACTGGGAAAACAAAGGCAGCCGGGTATGGATGTGAGCCACACCACGTCCTTGTCCACCATGCCAGCCTTCATAGGTGCTAACAGCAAATTCCACAACAGCCTCTTTTAGCTAGATGGGGGGCCTTTATCTTTGCGTGTGTGGCTTTTACGTGTTGTTGTGCGTAACAGCACTATGCAGTAAATAATGCTTCTAACAGGGCCTGAAGAAATGTTCCATGCCAAGTGGATCGAGCAGCTGAAATTTTTTTCTGGAATGTTTTTGTTGCGGCATAAATGCTACATATGATTCAAAACAAGCCCAACATACATACATAACTGTCCCTTCCACCTTCTTCTTGGTTCTTTCGGTAAAGTCACGTAGAAGGGAAGTAATAAAATAATAAAAATAAAACATAATAAAACAATTCTCACGACGTTTCGGCCACAACGCAAGCAGCCGTCCTCAGGCGAAGAAATGTCCCTTCCACCGTGCGGGCTGAGGTTTGGCAAAATGTCCCCTCCCCCATTCGAGGAGATGGTCTGGTTGGGTGACTATATGCGGGATGAGTTACAGTGTCCACTGACAAGGCCATCATTCCACCAAACAATTGGACAGAATGAAAAGCGAAAGCAGGCATGATTGGAAGCATGTAAGTCAATTTTTTTAATACAAAATTACTGCATTTGAGGAATTAACAAAATGTGTAATGTTAAAATGAGCAGTTTGACACATCAAGACGTAAAAATGATACAATTCACAATGTTTGTAGAGAGGGCCGTCGAGAAGAAAACTCATGGACAAGTTTAGTTTGTGTTTGTTCCCCTGAGTTATTCTGCAAGGATCTGAAGGCCACGTATTCGTTTAAGCGTAGAAACCTGTGCCTCCTGTCGTGACGTCGGCATAGTGCCACATTGGGGCAATGTCTCCTGATCTGTGGATGACAGGCATGGGTACTTGCTCACCTTATCTTTGCCCGTGTATCTGTCACAGACTTCAAGGGAGTTGCCACCCTCTGGCACGTGGCACACACGATGCGTCACACGTGACGTGGCCTGTTGTGGTGCTGTTGAGCATCGAGGGCTCGAGACAGTCAATGCAGCACTGAGTTTGTTTCCTTTTTGGAAATCACCATGTCGCTTCTGATGTGTTGTTGTACGACAAGGGGTGGCACTCAACTTGAATATTTTAGACTTCCTCTTGCATGCGATGTTGCCTAACAGAGTTTTAAAAGTTCACCTTATCTCTCCCGCATAGTTACACCATGATATTTGAGGTAAGAGTCCATAATCCCACGGAAATGTCACCACTTTTTGTGATTTTAAATTGTCCCCCTATACGTTTGATGTGTGCTTCCGTGTGAACGTAACAAGACGAGCATTTTGCGACCTTAAAACTAGATGTTAACTTCATCTCACGATCAATATCACGGTGGTCGTGAAATGTAGTTTCGTGTCATTGAACCTAACCGTGAACTTTCAGGGGTTTGTGCGAAGCAGGATTACAATCCATAGCCTCAAAGGAAAAATAAATATTTGAGTGCAGGCAAGACTATGACGATTCTGGGACTGATACTTGGAAATATAAAACACACGGGGGGGGGGGGGGGGGGGGATATGACCGAGTTCACTTTCACTTATCACGACTCCAGGTAAAATAACACTCAGTCACCGAAAACCCGATCCGAAACAAATGAAATAATGCTGCCTCCTGTTCGTGCAGATTCCTGAAAATGCAAATACATCCAAGTTGCGAAATCGCATCCCCAGAGAGATTGGGGAGACTTTTCCACCCGCCGGCGGTCAGGCAATGCGCTCCGGCATTATTATCGCCGGTGTCAGCGGGGACTAGGAATGTCGAGGCGGTCGGGAACATTGCAAGTCCGAGGGTAACACATTGCATAACCCAGCAGGGTGGTGGCTACGTCTCGGGCACATGACTCACAGTCAGAACATTGCTAATTGAAATCCCAGTTGGAGGTCCACTCGGCCCATCATTCCCTCTGGGGTCAATTAAATGAGTACCACTTCAAGATAAGTCGACAATCGTCAGCCACTTAATGAATTAGCCCCTACCAAGGGAATGAGGAACGTACAGTTTATGATGCACGAAGGGTTATGAGACGGAGGGAAAGAGACATTGCAATAACAGGAGAGGATTTTAATGGACTGCATAAAAAATGTATCTTTAGTTTTAACAGACCGGTTTTGAGGCAGGGGTAATGTCTGTTTTGCTGTATGGGTCAGAGTGCAGGCCTTTTACCAATGCTACTTGTGCCTTCGAGTCTGTAGTTTTGAGCGGAATAAATGTGGCCAGAAAGTTGGACGCTTGGAATAGAATGTGACAGGAAACCTTTGTAGATATAATTGGATCCAGGTGGTTGGGATGGTTAGAGCACACATGCAGAATGCAGGAGAATAACTTTTACCAAGACAAACGTTTGAGTGGCATCCAGAGGTCAATAACCTCTTAGCCCCACTGTGGTGCAGTGTACTGTAACATCCTCAGACCCTATTTACCTTATCTTTCCACGGATGACAATTCAATTGTGTTTTTGACATCGGTGGTCATGAAGTGATTTCCCTTCAGTATCATATGCAATGTGGAGTGTGACCTACCAACAACCACCCACCGGTCTACTTTATGACAGAAAAGGAGTTTTAGTGTCCAGTTCATCTCTGTTACAGAGCAATTAGGAGAGGGATATACAGTACCCAAGTAAAATTGTTATCAGTTTAACACGTAGGATTTCGCGACCAATATTATCCATAATAGATGTTTTGTTTGGTTAAATCGCGTGCATATAAATGTGTCGTTAAACCCGCCACCACCTGACACAGCCAATTCTGGCTGCCGCCTGATGAGGCTGGTTGCAATGACCTGCGAAATGGCGTACTTGAATTGCAGATTTTGTGTGTTTACTCTCCAACACACTGGTGTGCGCTGAACTTGCAACTAATTGGCACGTTTTGTTTTACGTGACAAACCTTACAACTGTCTGTGTCGGGTGGTGGCGGGTTTAACGACGCACTTATATTAACACGATCTAACCCTAACCTATGTTATGGATAAAATCGTTATCGTAGACGGCACCCACAATAAACACGTGCCCCTCGCCTCCCGCACCGCCTTTTGTTGC